ATCTTTAGTTAGTGGTTTATCTACTTACTCTATATCAAGGAAACAAAAGCTACCCAAAAATACCAATATTCTATTGTCCATATACTGATTTAGTGATCCCTTCTTCTCCCGTTTTTATGTTAAACATTACCGACGGTTTCAATGATCTTTAGTTAGTGGTTTATCTACTTACTCTATATCAAGGAAACAAAAGTTACCCAAAAATACCAATATTCTATTGTCCATATACTGATTTAGTTATCCCTTCTTCTCCCGTTTTTATACTGCAAAAAAAGCTGAGATTTATGTTAAACTTTATTTTAGTAAAGGAAAACGCTACGATACGAAATTATAACCAATGAAAAGTTAGTAGAAATGCTATCCTATGTATCTCTCGTGTGTTCTATCACATCTAAAAATAAACAGTTTAAATATCATACTTAATATTTTAGTTTTGTTCAGTTAAAGAAAGTTTGAGCTTTCCCCATGTTTCTTACAACTCTATTCGTTATTAAAAGGAAACTTAATTTCTTATTTTTTATAACAATATAGGCTTACTTTTCGTTACTTTTGTCATTTTTTTTATCCAAGAACGATATGGATCAACCTTCTTGGCGGGTTTATTATTATAACAGCTACATGCTTTGCCGGACTTATTATTTACAGTAGATATCACGAATGTGACCCCATCACCGCTGGACTTGTCAATGCCCCGGATCAGGTAGTTTGCGTATCTATTGCATTTCTATAGCTAGTACAGAATTATTTTATTGTTACACCTTTGAGGGATATTACATAGATATGATGTAGTTTTAAATACCTAGAATAATCAAATTAAAAGGTAGTGTAAATTACACGAAAATGATATAAGTGGTCAGCAAAAAGTCTAATGATAGATGGAGTTCTTTTGGTCCAACATTTATGTGATTTTATTTTCTTACGTGCCTTGTGTTTATGAAGGGCGGTTTTATATAGGTGTTCCACTGTTTCTTTATCTTTCATATCGAGTTTCATTAAAGATAATTGGTATGTTCCATTTATTTGATGTGAATCCCCCCTCCCAAAAACGTCGTTCCGGAAAAGTTTGAGTTGTTTTTATTAAACAAAAAGAAGACGTTTGGCACTATTTTTGAGGTCTAGCTCACTGGACCAGGCCCGTGATCTGACCCGAGACCATGAGAGTCAATATAGAGAAGTTAACTTGTAAATGTAAAGTAAAACGATGTAGAGAAACATGCTTGAAGTGTTCTAGATGTGGTTGTGGATGTGATGTTTAAATGTAGCGATTAAGCTAAACCTTGGATCTAGGTAGGATGAGGGAAGAGCTCATTCGAAGATATCTCAATGGATTCGATATACTAGCTAAATCGGAGATTCGTCAGTTTATTACTGCATTGACAGCGAAACATAAACAAACGGGCACAATAATCGTTTTCTTGAACTAGGGGGATTGGAATCATATATAAAAAATCATTAGTTTCAATATTTTGTAAAACTGACAGCACAGTAAAGCCCAAAGATGCAGTATTGAAGTTGAAGAAGATGCATGATCCGTTACAAGATGACTTCCCTAGCAATTCTCAAATTTAAAATGCCATTTCTGCAGTGAGAAGCAAATATAAGAAGGATGATATAATACCCAGTATGGTACCACCATAGTATAAACCATATAGATAGCATCATGTCATATTTTCATTAATATTTAGTTGGGGTTTTATCTATTTTTTTTTTTTCGTTTTAGAAGTTGTAACGAATCTGTTGATCATTCTAATCTCAGTACTAAAAGATGCTGGGCTGGCTCGTGTGGCAGGTGTTAAAAATAATTAACTCTTGTATTGTGTTTCTTAAGGTGTTTTGTCTAGGTAATTTCAGTTTTTAGTTCTTAAAGATTCGTATAATGATAAAACGAACAATTAGTGTTAGAACTTTAAAAGCTTTACGTTAAATTATATAAGTTTTGATTTAATTAAAAACAATAAGTTTCTTTCACATTCGTGAAGTTTGGAGATGTTACTTCTTTTATTTATCCTGGAAGTTTAAGATTTTTTTACTCGAAAAGCTAGTAAATTTTAGTTTATTTCCAAATATCAAACTTTGCCTCCTCTTTTGATTTATTTTGTATCTAGTTACTTCCGTTATTCATGATGGATGTTTTAGGATATTTACCAGGCCTACCTGGACTTTTTGTTTCTGGTGTATTCAGTGCTGCCCTCAGGTAGGTGTTGTAAATATATTCAACATGAAATGCCGATAAGGAACTTCTTCTATTTAGCCAGACTCTACCTGGTGGCTCAATGGCAAGTCTGAGGTTTTATAATGTTTTACAATCGTGGTTTGATACATGGGGTGCACATAGCAGAGGCAGACCATTGTGTGTAGCTTTATGTATAAAACCAACCTTTTAGACAAGACTATCAAGTCACATTATAAATGTGACTCTTTTATGCTTGTTTGTTTTTAATTATGCACAAAGCTACACAAGGGTTATCTGTGCTCTGCCCACCACGGTATCGAAACCCGGTTTCTAGTGTTGTAAGTCCGCAGACATACTTCTGTGCCACTGGGGGCGACTGTTTTATGATGCAGTTTTCAATATGTCTATTTGATATTTTTATTATTGTTTACAAGTATGAAATGTCAGTAAGTGGATCATACAATACTTATGCCCAACAAAATCTAAGCATAAAGGGTGAATTACATAACAAAACTTTTCCGAATATTTTACTAATACCTTGCTTTTATAAAATATTAAAACAACTTTTTGTGACACTATTAAAATATAAAATCAATAAATATATTTTTTTTAATTTAGCAAAGTCTTTCTTTCATAACTTCATCGAATTCTTAATGCCTCTGTAGAAATTTCGAAGTTACAAAACTTTATTTGGACATTAAAAACATTACACGCGACAGATAGCAACACTGTTGCACATATTTCAAAATGGTACTTTTATTGCTGTATTAAAAATATAATAACGTCATACATGTGCAAGAGGAGTTTCAAACACTGTAGCAAAAATCGCTTAAATGATTGTATGCTAATATAGTAGGTGAATACAGGTAAATGAGATTATTTCACATGAAGTCTTGAACATTTCATAATTTTTTTTGGATTTGATGGTATATTAACGAAACTTAAATGATGCGCTAACATACTTTCAGCACTCTTTCCTCCGCAATCAACTCCCTGGCTGCAGTAACATTAGAAGACATCATAAAGACCTGTATTAAAAAAGACGTGTCAGAGCTGTGGGCTATAAGGATAACTAAAGGCTTAGGTAGGTGTTGAGAAAATAACTAAAAAACTGTAAAATATTTACAATTCAAAGAATTAGTACATAACATAATCAGTACTGAACGAAAATAAATGAAGATTTTTAACAGTTACAGTTGTTTTACTAGTTAATAGAAAACATAAACACACATTTACTACATTCTCTTCAATAATCTGCACAGTTGAAGCTTCTAAATACTGAAAATCGATCACGAATTAAGAGCGCTAGATGCGTATTTCTTATCAGAAAGGAAATTATTAATTTGTTCTTTACATTCTACAAAGAAAGTAAATGTTTATGTGTGTAACGAATTTTTTATCATATATTTTGTTATTATGTATTTATTTTAATATCAACGTTTATTTAGATTAAGTTTATATTTAGAAACATGCATAGCTTATAGTGTTAAATATGTATTGTGAAACTCCTCCCTATTCTCCAAAGTTGTAGAAGATTCTCGAGAGTAAGAATCAACAAAATATGTATGTACATAAATGCTTAAATATAGCTCAGTATGGTTACGTAAAACTAAAATTTCTAGAAAGCCCCCACACGCCTATAAATATAACCAACGCGACGTGCCAAACAAAGAGAGTATCTATTATTAGTTTGCTATAGTCAGTGTGCTATAAACTTTGGAAGCTATAACTGTGATTGTTATAACGCTTATCATTCGGAAAACTTCAGCTATTTGACCAGGAGCATTTACAAAGTTCAAACATTACAAATCATTTAACGTCAGTGGATTCATATCGGACATCTGTACCTTCACAAAGATATTATATAATGTCAGCAGTAAGCGAAACTCGACCTGTAATCGGCGTGTGTGGCTGGTAAATAACGAGGTACAAAGCTAGCTAGCTCTCTGTTATGCAAATTGTACCTACATCAACTCGTAATTATCTCGATCATCGGGAACCCTCGATAAGATATCAAAGAAGTTCCAGACTGGAAAGAAGACTTTATATTGCTTGTAAGTTTGTGAAGCTTTTGTTTATAAATCATTGTTTGTAATAACTATTTGTAATAACTGTTACTGTAACTTGTATTCTTGTGTGTATGTGAAAACGTATTTGTATTAAAAAACTGTGTGTATCAATTTTGTTAGTGAATATCATAAACTGACTATATATTCAAAGTATAAATTTAAATATAAATTCAAAGTATAATTTAACTACTAAATTTAAAGTATCATTTAGTTCGGTTTCAGACCATTTGAAATTCTAAAACGTAACAATGTGTAATACATTAATCGATTTTAATGTATTTTAAAAAAAAGAGTATTTAAAGATATATATATATATAGATTAACAAAATTCGACATTATCACCTTTATGTTACATTTTAATTATTTATTGAACTATTAATCACTTCGCCATCCCACTCCCATGGCTCGTTCAGCGATAAGCCTTGAAGCTTATAACGCCAAAAATTGGGTTTCGAAACGCTCGGAGGGCAGACCACCATAGCCCACTGTATAGTTCTGTACTTATCAATCAACCACTGTTTTTGTTGTTGTTGTATTTTTTTGGAAAATTGCTAACCAAAATAACCTTGAATAAATGATTTCAAAACCATGTTATTTTTCAACTGTAAATGGTGGAGTTATAGGATATTTGGAATTTTTTAATCTGAAATAACGAATATCTTGTTAATGTTAATGGGGCATTTTTATAAACGTTTCTGAGTAGATTTGATTTGCTAGTGGCTTTTTGTTCTTGTGAGTTCAAACTTTGTAATTATGATATACGTTCATGCGTAAAGTCCAGTATGCATTTTAGGACCACGGTTTTCAAAATGGATTTTATTTGCCAGTTGTCAAAAGGATTTACTTGCTCAAGAAAAATCTATTACAGAAGAAATATTTAAACACATAACAAAGTTTAATTTTGTTGTGCTAAGTTCTTGATCGTATACCACGTTAGACGTGGCGAAACGTTGTTATATTTCATATTTTTCTATTTCGTTTTAGCTGTTTTTTGAAACTTTTTCTGAATTTTATAGAGTGTATGATACGTCCAGCATCTGTATCTATTAATGCCAGATAAATTATTATCCATTAAATGCATTTATTTATTGAGGGGGTAATTGGTACTAGGAGAAGTATGAAAGTCTTCGTTTACTAAAATCATTAAAGAGACAGTAAAATTTGTGTCGATTCTCGATAACTGGTCATCATCTTTATGCATTTAAAATTATTTTTAAGTTTCTGTTATGTGAATGATTTAATTGAATATAATTTGTTCAAAATTAACCTTCTATATTAGTATTTTTTACGCTTTCCAGCTCTTCTGTATGGTGTAATTACAATCTTACTAGTAGCTGTAGTTCAACTGCTAGGAGACATATTACAGGTAAACACACATTTAACATGTTTATGAACTTTAATAGATAAACAGAATTAGTTGAGCCACAAAATCTATATTTGAATTTAAAATATACTTCATAGCTTCAGTCTATACTTTGTTTTGAATAATTCACTAAATATAACAGGTCTCGATCAATGTTATAGTATTTGATCTCGTCAACTAAACGATATGTTAAGTGACAAATTGCCTAAGCGGCCATATCAAAGACCTCAAGTGTCAGGCATAGCTGTCCCTAATTTAGAAACTGCAGAATAAAGGAAAGTTAACCAATCATCAACACCCACATCTTACATGGCTACTCTTAACTGAATAACGGTATTAGTAGTTACTTTCTAACGCGCCTATTTAGAAAGAGCAAAGCTTGTTCAGTGGCATATCTTGGACTCGAACCTTGGACTTCCTGATCCGCATCCATGCATACTAATCTGTAGACCGCGGCAGACCACTCATGTTCTAATGATCTATCATAAAGAAAAACGTGTTCTACATGTATAATAATTGAGTATGACCAGATCCTCTCAGATCTTTAACTCAGTTTCGAGTAAGTAAATCCAAATTGCAAAGATTCTAGGGTTTAGAAAACAAAACCTCGTTATATAATTTGAGTAAGTAATTCACCTATTTTGGTATTCATCTTCATGCATGTGATGTATAATTAATTAAGTATGTTTTGTTCATAACCACACAAAAGCTAGCTTTAATTTTAACCTTCTAGATTACTTCGATCTATCTTTAAACTGAATTAGTTCTTTATAAATGGTTCGTTTTCGTACGTACTAGTTAAACTTTTGATACGATAAGAGCAGAAAACAAATTATATCATGCTTACTTCTTTTTCTTTGAACGAAGCCTATGTATGAGACATTTATTATAATGTTAAAATGTAGCTGAAATAAGAGCGACGTTGATGTCAAGTCTACTAAACTTTTAAATATTTAGTAATAAATTTTCTAATACCACAGATAAGCGAACGGCCTATACTTTTAGGTATATATATATAATAAATATATATTTAAACCTTTTTGATTATTTGCACTGAGATATTTAACCAGTTCTTAATTTATTTATAACTACAACTTCCGATCCAAGTAAGCTATGTACTTAGAGCGAAGCTAAAAATGAACCCGGTAATCAGTACAGCTAATTACAGTCTTGGCCAATATGTTTGCATACTGTTCTATATTGATGTTATTGTCTATATTCGTGGAGTAGTTATTGAGTGAATGCCCGAGTAGTAATAGAAAAGGTAGCTTATGATCAAACAAACATATACGAATTGTTATTCTGATCTGTATAAGTTGTTTTGAGCATTTGTTCATCAAAACACTTACACTTGTTTTGTATAAAAGGGTGTGCTTTTGGTATAATATTTGTCGAAACAAATCCACGCTTTGTTCAGACAATTTCTCTGTACTTGGTGTAAAGTCATGCCTCTTCACGTGCCAGAAGTTATAGGGTGCAAATTGTTTGACTGTCCAGAAATGGTATGAAGCAAATGGACATTTCCAGAACTGTAGGGTACCCCCATTGTACTGTATCCAAAATCTTGAAATGTCTTCGTACTACAGAAAACATCGATCCAGAAAAGTCAACTGGTAGACTCGAAAAACTACTGCCTGAGATGACCGTGTTTTGGTCAGGTTACAAGTAAAAGTCGAAAGAAGTCTCGCAATCCCTTACAACAGGAATGGCATGAACACCTTCATTCCAGGGTATCCAAAAGAACAGTGAATAAGAAACTGACCAATCAAGGTTATTTTGCAAGACGGGCTATCTGCAAACCGTTATTAACCATGTCACTTGGGCAAGACAGCATGCCAACTGACAGTTAGGACACTGACGACATGTCATCTTTTTAGATGACTCCTGTATATGGCTTGTTAAAGCTGATGTTAGGATTCGTGTTCGTCGTTTGTCTGGAGAACAGATGGACTACTGGTAGAAGCCAAAAAAAACTACTGCCCGAGATGACCGTGTTTTTGATCAGGAACGGCATGAGCACGTTCATTCCAGAATATTCGGAAGAACAGTAAACAGGAGCCTGACCAAACAAGGTTACTCTACAAGAAGGGCTATCTGCAAACCGATATTAACCAGAATTTGCCACCCTCACTGTGTTACTTGGGTAAGATAGCATGCAGTTAGGACACTGGCGACATGTCATCTTTTCAGATGAGTTCTGTTTCCAGATTTTTAAAGATGATGAAAGGATTAATGTTCTTTTATGCCTAGATAACAGATGAGGGAAGACTGTCTTTCTCACAGGAAACACCCAGGAGGCGGTGCAGTACATGTTTGGGCAGCTATTCGTCATGGTGGAAAAATTGCTCTTCATAGCTTCCAAGTAAAGGTTAATGGTGCCTTCTACAGGCATAACATGGAGACGATATTTCTCCCATATGCTAAGGAAAGGTTTGACAATAACTTTGTGCTCCACGATGACAAACCCTCCAGTGGCACATTGGTATGTCTGCGGACTTACAACCTTAGAAAGTGAGTTTCGATACTTGTGGTGGATAGAGCACAGATAGCCCACTGTGTAGCTTCGTGGTTAACTTCAAACAAACAAACCAGGATGACAATGCCACTACCCACAGTGTACAAATTGCACAGGATTATCTCTTTCAGGAGGATGTTACAAGATTGCCATAGTCAGCAATGTCAACAGATTGTAATCCCGTTGAGAACTGTTGGATGAAACTAAGCCCAAAAAATGCTAACCACGATCCTAAATCAGCTACTGTAGCTGAGTTGTAGCGCCTTCTAGTGAATAGTTGGGATGAAATCACGGTGGATTACATCAATAACCTCATCGCCTTGTGGAGGTTATTACAGTACGAGGAAGATCATCCAAGTATTGAATGTTTAATTTGAACTGATATAAGGTTACATACACTATTTATAATAAGTTGATGATATATTTTGTCATTATACAATTTTTTGGTAAGGTTCTTTTGTGCTAGACCCCCAGTAACACAGCGGGATGTCTGCGGATTTACAACGCTAGAAACCGGGTTTCGATACTCGTGGTGGGTAGAGCACAGATAGTCCTTTGTGTAGCTTTGCGCTTAACTACAAAGAAACTGTTGTGATAGATGAAATTGTGAATTACATATATTTCTACAGGTGTTTGATAATATTGTTTGCTGTTCTAATAAATCGTTCATGATGGCCATAGAATCTGTCTCATTTTAGGAATTACGTAAGTAGATGTCTAATATAACATGCATATCTCAGATTGACAGCGTTAAATGTATATTTGTATTCTTTATTAATAATAATGATCTTATTGGCTACAAAATATGCAAACATTTTGGCCAAAATTGTTGTAACACTGTACTCATAAAAAATCACATTAAAAAGCAATGGTAATCATTCCAGAATTTTAGATGAAAATTTAGATTGAAGATAGAAGAAAAGAGGATAAGTTAATTTTAGTTACAAGGAATAAGATAACAATACAAAATATTCCTAATAGTAAAACTATATTCATAAAAAAATCACATTAAAAAGTAATTGTGTTTATGCAAGAATTTTAGATGAAAATAAAGACTGAAGGTGGAAGAATATACTACTTATATGCACTTATACATTTTAATTTAAATGTTTCAGGCAGCATGGAGCTTCAACGGAATACTTGGAGGTCCTCTTCTTGGCTTGTTTACTTTAGGAATGTTTTGTCCATGGGCCAACTCAAAGGTGTGGAAATATCTATTTCTTACGTTCAGTTTCATTTAAAATCTGCAACTTCCTTTCGAAATTTATATGTTTTTATTAATTTAATTATAGTTTGTAGAAATATCTAATATTATGCCATTTTTATGCGAAAAGGTCTTTATATATTTCTTACAATTAATACGTATGAGGATACGATAATTGCTACATTAATTTGAACAGTTTGAACATTTTTAAAGAATGGGCTTTGGTGTTATTTTCCTGGTTTCAAGGATATTCTGTATATATATATCAGATAATTGTGATGATACAAGAGAGAAATTTACATTTCTAGTATAACCAACCGCATATATAAAACGAGAGACTTCTTCAGATATCCATACACAAATACCATTTTTAAATGTCGTACATAGTAACATCAAATGGAAATCTTCACTCCACGATTTTAAATGAAAGCTTCCTTTTTATCTTTATAGACAAGCATTTTTAGTCACCACATCTCACCTTTCAGCTAAAGAAAACATTTTAATTGCACATTTTTTAGGGAGCAGTTTCTGGATTGTTGTGTGGTTTAGCTTTATCATCTTGGATAGGACTTGGATCCTTCGTTTATAAGCCTGACGCTCCAAAGTCTCCAGTTTCTATTGGTGGTTGCCTTACTAATGTTACTCTGTCTCCTACCTACGACCCTAGACACAAGTAAGAACTGTCAAATACCAGCTGCACTCGGTAGTGTGTGTATGAAAATATAGTTTTATAAGAACAAAATACTATTAACTATTTATGAAACTATTTAAGTTTTCTACTTTTAATACTTAAAGGATTAACTGAATATTGTAATGCCCAAACTTAACCATGTATTTTACTGTTTTAAATGAATTTTTAAAATTCATGATATAAAATTAGAAGTAAGTAGTTTAAACGTAAGTTGTATAAATATTAAAAACTAACATGTAAAGTTGGAAAAGTTTAACTATAACATTTTAGTACTACTGATAACACTGTTACTATAGAACTCAAACAAATATCCAGTTCTATTACCAATATCCACAGCTGCGTCACATCAGTTTCATGATATTATTTTTAGTATGAATAAATTTAAACAAGAAGCCCCTCTGGTGGCCCTTCACAACCCCCTTCCTTCCATTTTTGGCCCGGCATGGCCAGGTGGATAAGGCACTCGACTCGCAATCTGAGGGTCGCGGGTTCAAATTCCTCTCACACCAAACATGCTCGCCCTTTCAGCCGTGGGGGCGTTATAATGTGACGGTCAATCCCACTATTCGTTGGTAAAAGAGTAGCCCAAGAGTTGGCGGTGGGTGGTGAT